TACAGACAAGACCATCACACTTGGTGTGAACAGTTAAATGGCTAAGGCTAAGGTTACAAATAACCAGCCCTTAATTGGTTAGGCCGCCTTTAGCTTCAGTATGGTGTTACATGGAGGTGATCAGCCCGTAGTGATGCTGGGGTGTGATGGGGAGTCCATCTTCAGGTCATCTGTGATGCTTCTGTTATTGCTCATCTTGCTCTTAATAAATCTTTAAATAAGCTTCACATCAGGATAGTTTGTTGGCCCATTGGGCTCAGTATCACCACGGTAACTGAACCAGCTACTAGTACCTTTAGATACATGGCAGGTATTAGTTCTTGCCAGAAAACAAAACTGGCTTTTCCATTTTTCTCCATGTTCTTTTGCCACCAATATGAACAGTTCAGTTATTTTTAATTATTTTTTTTGCATGTAGTTTCCTTTCTTTGTTTTTTTTTTTTTTTCTATTGATTAACACATTTGTGTAGTTTAGTCATTTTGTGTTTAATAACTTAAGTTGGGTTGTAGAGAGGAGAATTTTGTTTTGTCTAGGGACAACAGAGGTGAGGTCTGGTTGATTTACATAAGGTCGGTTATTATATATTGTACTTACCGAAAAATAAATCACATGAGCAAATAATTCAAACTAACAGACCAGGGAACTTTGATTTAACTTATTAGGGCGTAACACCTTGAGTTTCCAATGTTGGATTATTTTTTTTTAATCATCTGTAAGCACGTTGTAATCAGAAACAAGTAATAAAGCTTGAAATATTCAATTCTGTTTTATTGCGTCAAAATATTGAACTTTCTTAAGGTGGTCCATGTTAGGAGCTTTAATTGTAGAAGTGTTTGTGTAAAGACGAGTTTTATTTTTTTCCCCGCAGGACCTTTTGTTTTCACCGGAAACACAAGTGCAGTAACAACTCCTGGAACCCAAAAGAAACCAGCCTTTGATCTGAAGGCCAGCCTGTCGCGGCCCCTCGGCTACAAACCTCATAAAGGTAACAAGACTGCTCTAAGCTATGTGAAGCTTCCCATGGGGGATTTAATGCTGGATGGGGGTTTGATGGTTGAATCGCTCCGCAGGTAAACTGAAACCTTTCGGAGAGGTGAAGGAAAACGCAGCAGCAAACACGTCTGTCTCCAATCCTCGGCAAGAGAGCTACAAAAAGCCCAAAATCCTCTCCAGGTAAGCTACAGACGAACATCTAAACATGATCAGCTCGTACAGCCCTTCTGAGTCATCTTCTGTCGTGTTCAGGGACGACCGGAGAAACAGACAGCTGGAAACCCGGAAACAGAAAAAGGAAAGCATGCTCGGCGCGAGGAGAGGACTTGTGATGATGTAGGCAGGGCGTGGTTCCGCTGATGCTCACTGGGAAAACTTTAAGTCTAAATATTTTGTCAAAGGAAAGTAGAAGAGCCATGATATTTTCTCCAGCTTGCTTTGATGAGTGTAGAAATGATATCTTCCTTTTTTTTATTTTACCTTATGCTGCATTTTTGTCCAGCTTGTTTATATTGGTACTTTAACTCTTGTTTCTGCTTTGTTTTGGTGTTTTTTTTATTTTTTTTACTTTAAATGAAAGACATTTGGTGTTCAAAAGACTAATGAAAAAACATTTGATATGGTCTCTGTAAGTATTTCTTAATTGGTCTTTTATTGTTCTGTTTTATAATAAAATTCCTAATTATTCCCCATCTGTGATGTCATTCAGTTGCCTCCTGATAGCATATCAGCAGGTTTCCTTCCTACTTTGACTTTAAAAATAAATTTAAAATAGTCTTTTTGATCTGAAATGTTTTTTCTCCAAAATCCATTTATTAATTGAGACAAAGCGACACTTTCCCGTAGAACTTGTATATAGATTTATTCAACAACTTAAATTACAGAAAAATAAAATCAAAGGAGGTTAAAAAAAAAAAATCAGTTGTGTTCTCAAACTTCCGGGTTTCTCTTGTACACCTCATATGCAAAGTCCTCTGTGTGTGCATAGTCTTTGCACACGCCGATAAAATCGATTTCTAGCTGGAAGGGACCGTCTGCCTTGTCTCCAAGAGTAAAGCCAATGGTATTAATCTGTAAACAGAATGAAGAGATTAATAATAATCTGAAGACCTCTGGATGGTGGAAGATCTTGAGCTAATGAAGGAGTGTCAGGGAATTTCATTCTGTGGTTTGGGCCACATTTAAGTTGAGGTACCTTATCGAGCCAAAGAGGATGCTGGTCATCCTGTATTCTCCCTCGATGAGTAAGGAAGAACTTTGAGAACGGGATCTGCAAATAAAAATCGGCTTTAGGAACTGGTCTTTTTCCATAAAATCCATGTCTCTGCGTGAAGAATCTTTTCAAAACTTAAACTACTTTAACTACTTTTTGCAATTTTAGGTAGTAGATAATAGCGGGCATTTAAACCAGTTTGGTGAAAAATACATTAAATCCACCCAATGCAAAAGTCATTAATGAAGTACTATGACGAATAGCCTTTGATAAATTATGTCAAAATAGTCTGCAGATGGAATCCAGAATGCATCAAGCTCAAAGACTGGTGCTTTTTATTTTTATATTAATCCTAAAAAAGCACTGAAGTTCAGAGTGCTAAATATTAATGCGTGGGCCCTTAAGTTTTTTCTTTTGTAGGATGTTCAGTTTCACTTTATCTGCACCGCAGATTCTTTTAACATAGAACCCTCCATGTGAAAATGCTTCCCATTTCCACAGCTCATTTTAAAAGTATTTTTAATCTAAGAGAAAAAAGATTTATTTGAAGTTTTCCTACCCATTCTGTTCTGTCCTCCTTACCTTTACATCTTGCCAGTATGGCCCTCCTCTGGTGTACAGGAAGTAGCTGTAGATGTCGTCTTTCTGATGAGAGAAGTAGGTTTCTGCCGCAATGTTGACCATCCATGGGCGGCCATCACCCCGAATCCGCATATGGAGGGTGTTGAAACTGGACCAGTCGTGGTGCGTTTTCCGATCAAATGAAACCTAGAAGACAGGAAACGTTTGAGCCCTCAGTTTGCTTCATTGCCTTGTGAACCAGAAGAGATTAAAGGACTTTAGAAACAGAGTAGGAAGCAGCGTCCAGCTGATCACGAACCAGAGGTTGCTTGGAGCGCATGGTGCAATATCCACTGTAGCGCGTTTCTCCATCTCTAGGAGGTGCAGAACAAAGGGTCCCGTACAGAAAGCAGGTGTCGTTGTTTCTTCCAAGCTTTAGATAAATTTCACTTTGGCCTCCAATCTCCCTGTCAGAGGAAACTGTCCAATTCTGAAGGCTCTCAGGGCCTCTGAACTCCCATATCACCCTGTTCTGCTCCAGCATGTGCTCGATGATGGGTTTACCCTCCGGACCGACCAAGCGGTCAGCAAACTCCTGTCTCAGCAGCTTGAAGTGCTTCTTTACACCCTCCAGACCCTTAGAGAGGTCAAACTTTATCTTCTGCCATGGAGGCTTGTCCTCTCTGGGTTGGCCGGGCCGACGGTACTCACTCTGGACCAGAGCTCTGTTGGGCACAGCAAGGGGCGTGACGGAGCGTAGGAGCCAGCGGATGTCATGGACGGTGCTCAGCAGGCTGGAGGCAGGGATACGTGAGATTTTCTGCAGTGACATTTGTGATCTGGAGTCTCTGTCAGGATAGATCACAGGAATAAGAAATTCTTTAATAATTCCCGAGGGAAATTATCAGGAAGCACTGATAACTAACATTTAGAACACAGGATTAAATAAATATCTTTCTTTTTTGTAGCAATATTTAGGGCGGAAACAATCAGATTAATCGTGATTATTGAAATAATCGTCAACTAATTTAGTAAATGGTTAATCTTTAAGTGGAGTACATACAGTAAAAGGGGGAGTATTTGCCTAGTGTTTAGAGCAGTGAGCTTGTGCTCTTAGAAGGTTCTGAGTACCTGGTTCAAGCCTCCACCCTGGGTTCCTGAGCAAGACCCTTAACCCCCGATTGCTCCCTGGGTGCCACACAATGGCAGCCCACTGCGAGAGGAGCTGTGGCCTCGTGATTAGGGCAGTGCACTTACAATCAACAAAATCCAATTTATTGTACTTTTTTCAGTCTGATTATAAGTCAACACAGTATACAGTTTCCCAAGCTGTCATTTATCCAAGTATTTTAAACAACATGAAGGACATTTTATCCAACTCCTACTTCCTACCAATTTATTAATTAGCCTTTAATGTTTTGTTTTTTAAACATAAGGAGAAAAGGCTTCATTATCACTTTTCAAAAAGTCTCCATCCTTGCTGCCATTCCAGAGCAAGCTCTGCACTGGAGGCAACATAAACTCTTACTTGAACCTTCCTTTGAAGGTTTCCCTGGTAATGATCCTTTCAGGACAACTACCTGAAGTTCTTGATCGTCCATTAAACACTAACCTTTACTCGCTTCTGAATTGTTATAGTAGAGTAACATCCCCGCCTCATCCCAGACTTACCACAAATTCGTTTTTGTAATATACGTACATTTATCTTTACAGCTAATTTCATCTGATCACCCAAAACAAAAATAAGAAGTAATCTGCACAATGGCACCAATAAATTCAAGCTGAATAAAGGCCTCGTCTTAAAACAATCATATAACCACGACTGCGGTTTGCTGAAGTACTCAAACGTATACCTTTGATAATAATACCAATTTTGTAATGTATTTAATCCCACTTACTCTGTCTGCCGTTAAAACCAGGGTGCCGGGTACATCAATAGTTTTGTTAGGGGTGAACAGATGAGCCGGTAAATGAAATTATGCTACCAAAACAGTTCGGAATAAATCCAAGGTTGTCTGTGCACAGGAAACACCATCTGAGTAGAAACAGCAGAGCTACGTTCAAAAATGTCTCGATGACAACAAATATACAGTAGAAATGTTATACACAAAGTCACATGGCTTTTTTAACAGCAGCCTTGTGGTTCTTGAACATAGCTCTAATGCATCTGCGATTCTGGTCCTGACTGAAGCACTCACTCGTTGAACTACAGTTCCGATCCCTTTTCTGTGTCTTTGTGTCCATTTATGTCTATCAAAAGCAAGCTACTAGAATGTAAAAAAAGCAATTAATAAAATAGAATCATGCTTTCATTTCAACATTTCTACATTATAATCGTAGCTTATTAATGTAAAACCGTGCGCGCGCATGCTCAGTTTTGCCTTTGAACCAAGAAGCCAAATAGCATCGGAGGCTACTTCAAGCGGTTAGACGACACAGGCGCAGCTAGTAGGTTAGCCGCGTAGTCAACCATGGTGAATGTTAAGAAACGGAAACGAGTAATTGACTCCGACTCTGAAGATAGCGGTAGCGATGACAATTTAGATCAGGTAGGTTGCTCATTTCTCCCCTCTTTGCTTCTTCCGCTGGCCTCTGAAAGTAGTCAACAATTTGGTATAAAGCTAGCGGATGCTAACGGTTTACGATGTGTTTGGCCTCGGTATAAGAGGCATAAATTGGGCCTGTATTACTTTTACACTCTGCGTAACCTTATGTTAACCTTCACCATTCTTTGTATATACCGTATTTAATAAAATGAAGCAGTTTTTTGTTCTTATGCCACTAAGAGAATCATTGGTTGCAAAAATGCTAATGGTAATCATGCAGTGATATTTACCGCGCCATACACCTTCTAATGATTTCCAGTCTTTAGCTATGTGTCTGTGGGCTGATGGATCGGTTGTTAGTGTGTTTAAGGAATAATAGAGGGGGAAAAGCATTCAAATTAAAGCTGCTAAAGAACCTAGTTTGGTTTAGCTTAAACAGTATCTGCTTAATGACGTCATGGGCTGGGATCTGAAGATCTATTTCTGTGTTGTTGATAAACAAGAGCTGGCAGTCTAAAATGACAACACTAATAGCTGTGCATGCAAACTGGAAACTTCTTATATCAGTGCATATGTGTTCTTTTTACAAATGACTAAAAAATGTCCAAAGATGGAAAAGAAATACTAGTCACTGTTTCAAAAGCTGCACATAATGGTAAAAAAATGTCTTTCAAAGAATAAGCTGTAACAAAGAAACCTGAAATCGTTTTCCTGTCGTTTTTAACACTTTTGAAATTTGGATGTACAAAAAAGTGCAACTGCTGACCCAGTTCACTGACATCTGATTGTTGTTTTGTTCAGTCAAATGGTTGGACCAGTCACCCAATATTATCCTGCTTTTGAATAACTAAAAGTGTATCTTCCTTTTCATAGGTGAAGTTGTTAAAATGGGGATGAAACCACGGCTTTTATTTTTTGTTTGTTTGTTTGAATTGGGGTGCTTTTGGGGACAAAAAAAATAGGCTTTAAAAAATTGGCCTGGAAGTTCAATGAAAAGTTTCAAGTAAATCGAGAACGTTTTATTTTTAAACGAAAATCTTCTCAAGATCTGTGATAATCTGTGTCTATTTATTAGAAAGATCTAAGTAGATCCAGATTGACAGAAGTACAAACAGCTCTACTACTGACTATTGCTGTTAGTTGTCGGTTGCTGTTTTTTTACAGGGTTTATACAGGAATGAGTAACTCTAATATAATGCTCTTAGAAATAATTTTAATACCATCAACAAGTACCCATGACAGCCATGAAGTTTTATAATTTTCTAGCCACTTTTGTTGAAATTAGCATTTTCCAATTATCTCGATTTTTCTCTGCCTTTCAGTTTATCTCAAGTATCTGAATTGATAATGTATTGGATTCTAATGCACCAACTTATCTACATTATGAAATGCCTCAACAGATCGAGGTGTTTTCTATAAGACCAAACCATCTATAAATAATTGACAGCTACTGTCAGTAAAAGGCAGAATTTTTCTATTGGTGTTGGCCACACTACCTGTTTAGAAAGCTTTGAGCCTTCTGACGAGTTTTCAGTTATATTTTTTGTACAACGACATTAGACTTGATTGATAAATGCTTTTTAAAATGCTCACAGTGCATTCATTCACTTTGATGTAGTGACGTCCCCATATATATGGGGTTAACCTGTAGAAGAAACCATTTCACATTTATTTACCTCCAACTAACAAAGAATAATTGATAGATATTTTTGTTGTTATAGATACATTTCTGCCCCGTCGTTCGATGTGGTGGCATCATTGTATACTTGTTAGAAAGCACTGATTTCAAAGCTGCAAAATCCTTAACGGTACCTTTGGTTCGAAGTCCACTTTTGATATTCCAGAGAAAGTTTCTGAGTGATCAGATTTTAGTCCAGCTGTTTGAGATGTAGAATAGCTCCACACAATACCTCAGTCACGCGTCCGTCATACTCAAGTATCTTCCCTGATTACAGCTGGTGAGCTATGTCTCGTTAGCAGTGGGAAGGCTAACAGCATTGATAATTTACAGATTAAGCTTTTTGTGCTTGTTTTATTCTATAAAAGAAGAGCTATTAAAGGCAAGCTTATAATGCTCATTTGATTCTAAGATCCATAGCTTCGTTTTTTTCGCTTCAGGAGTTGTTGTCCCTTGCCAAGGGTAAGAGGGTTGATTCGGGCGAGCAGGATGAGACTGTGAACAAACCAGCAGCCTCCACAGACTCTGAGACATCCGACAGCGACGATGAGGTAAGATTGAGCTCAACTGAGTGGATCGGGATTCTGTCTTTTTGAGGTGGGAAATGGTAAATAAGAGAGAAAATGTTTCTTTGTTTTTATTTCAGTGGACCGTTGGTGGCACCAAGGGCAAGAAGAAGGTTAAGCCGGGGAAGGGTTCTGAAAAGAAGAGCGCTTCGAAAAAGAAAGTTAACAAGGCGACGGCATCTGGCAGCTCTGATGGCGACAGCTCAGCGGACAGCTCTGCTCCAGAGGAGGGTAAGATCCCAGATTTCCTTACAAAGGAGGGACTTAAAGTAAAAAAAAAAATCATCTATTGAATTTTGACCTTTTATTTGGTCAACTACTGAGGTTTCAGTGTAGGTAGGTTTCTGTAGAGTGAAGTCTAGATTATATATGAACCTGGTATGGCAACTGGCTGGGATTACATGACTCACTCTTCCATCTCCTTTATCCCTGGTGGCACAAGGACATATCTCTTCAGGATAATGTTAATTCGTCTTTGTTTTTTGTCTCGCACAAAAACAAAACTCGATTCACACTAGAGGTGCAACGAATAGAGATTTTATCACGTTGCCAAACCTGTTTTATCTGGTTGTGATTTCTCATCAGGAACTATGTCGATAATAAAACACTTTCTCCATGCTTCTTTAAAATAGAACAAATGAAATCTCTGTATCATTAACTAACTACAAAGAAAACAACAGAGATTAGCTGTTTCTCATATGGCTGTTGAGTGTGATAAGACAAGATAGTCCTTTTTTCCCCCCACACGATCTGTTTGACAAAAATACATTCTGTTTAGCATTCAATTAATAGCTTAATTTATTTACTGTAATTATACAGGACCTAAGCAGCCTTGTTTGATATGACTGATCATTAAGATGGTTGTCATTTACATTTCTTTAGCATCTCATATTAGCACAATTAGCATTGTTGGAGTACCAACTTCAAACACCAGTTCTTGTTTATACACTTAAGAAAGGTAGCAGCTCTTCACCTAAACAATGAGCTCCCTAGTCTTCTGACACCTCCTGATCTGTTTTTTTTTTCTGTGACAAATTTGAATATTTTTTAAAAGGAGAATAAAAGAAATATACAGGTGCTGGTCATAAAATTAGAATATCATGAAAAAGTAGATTGATTTCAGTAATTCCATTTAAAAAGTGAAACTTGTATATTATATTCATACATTACATACAAACTCATATATTTCAGATGTTTATTTTGTTTAATTTTGATGATTACAAATGACAACAAATGAAAATCTCAAATTCATCATATCAGAAAATTAGAATATTACTGAAGACCAATAAAAACAAAGGATTTATAGAAATGTTGGCCAACTGAAAAGTATGAACATGAAAAGTATGAGCATGTACAGCACTCAGTATTTAGTTGGGCCTCCTTTGGCCTGTATTACTGCAGCAATGCGGCGTGGCATGGAGTCGATCAGTCTGTGGCACTGCTCAGGTGTTATGATAGCCCAGGTTGCTCTAATAGTGGCTTTTAGCTCTTCTGAATTGTTGGGTCTGGTGTATTGCATCTTCTTCTTCACAATACCCCATAGATTTTCTATGGGGTTAAGGTCAGGAGAGTTTGCTGGCCAATTAAGAACAGGGATACCATGGTCCTTCAACCAGGTACTGGTAGCTTTGGCACTGTGTGCAGGTGCCAAGTCCTGTTGGAAAATGAAATCTGCATCTCCAAAAAGTTGGTCAGCTGCAGGAAGCATGAAGTGCTCTAAAACTTCCTGGTATGTGGCTGCGTTGACCCTGGACCTCAGAAAACACAATGGACCAACACCAGCAGATGACATGGCACCCCAAACCATCACTGACTGTGGAAACTTTACACTGGACTTCAAGCAACGTGGATGAAGTGCCTCTCTTCTTTTCCTCCAGACTCTGGGACCTTGATTTCCAAAGGAAATGCAAAATTTACTTTCATCAGAGAACATGACTTTGGACCACTCACCAGCAGTCCAGTCCTGTTTCTCTTTAGCCCAGGCAAGACGCTTCTGACGCTGTCTGTGGTTCAAGAGTGGCTTGACACAAGGAATGCGACAGCAGAAACCCATGTCTTTCATACGTCTGTGTGTGGTGGTTCTTGAAGCACTCACTCCAGCTGCAGTCCACTCTTTGTGAATCTCCCCCACATTTTTGAATGGGTTTTGTTTCACAATCCTCTCCAGGGTGCGGTTATCTCTCTTGCTTGTACACTTTTTTCGACCACATCTTTTCCTTCCCTTCGCCTCTCTATTAATGTGCTTGGACACTGAGCTCTGTGAACAGCCAGCCTCTTTAGCGATGACCTTTTGTGTCTTGCCCTCCTTGTGCAAGGTGTCGATGGTCGTCTTTTGGACAACTGTCAAGTCAGCAGTCTTCCCCATGATTGTGTAGCCTATAGAACTAGACTGAAAGACCATTTAAAGGCTTTTGCAGGTGGTTTGAGTTAATTAGCTGATTAGAGTGTGGCACCAGGGGCCATCAATTTTGAACCTTTTCACAATATTCTAATTTTCTGATATGATGAATTTGAGATTTTCATTTGTTGTCATTTGTAATCATCAAAATTAAACAAAATAAACATCTGAAATATATGAGTTTGTATGTAATGTATGAATATAATATACAAGTTTCACTTTTTAAATGGAATTACTGAAATCAATCTACTTTTTCATGATATTCTAATTTTATGACCAGCACCTGTACAGTAAGCTAGTTAGCTCCCTGCTATCTACGTAAATACTCTGTTTTAGAAGTTTGCTCCCGATTAAAAAGCCTATGTAGGAGAGTAGTTTGTTTTGCTTTCTATAGAAGCTTAATACAACTTCATACTAAACCATATTCCACACTGTAGTCTTAATGTGATCTGGTAGTGCTTTGGTGTGGTGTGTTCGATAATCGAGAAAATGGATGATGTTTTTTTTATTCAGATGGAAGAAAACATACCAGGAAATACCATTTAATCTTTATAAAATCTTTATATTTTAAGTTGGTTTTCTGTTAATGGTATAGAAAAAATATAGTGAAGTATTTTATTAATGCTTGATAAATTTCAAGTAAATTGCACAAATTGGATCTTAAAAAAAACAACCTTAGAAGGCATTTTTCTGGTATTAATGACAGTCTGAGGATTTTCCATGAAAATAAAGCAAACATCAAATGAACGCACTTTGTCTAACATTTATTGTATGTAAAAAAAATTTTTGTTTGTGCCTCGGCTGAACCAAAAAGGTGAAAAATTACCACATAAAAAATAAATGTATGGGTTCCTTTAGATTCTTTTCTTTTTTTTTAGGAGAGGTGTCAGATTCAGAAAGTAACAGCTCGTCGTCTAGCTCAGACTCTGACTCCTCAGAGGATGAGGTGTTTAAAGACGGTTATGATGACGACTTGATGGGTGATGCTGAGGACAGAGCGCGTCTGGAACAGATGACTGAGAAGGAGAGGGAGCAAGAGCTGTTCAACAGAATTGAGAAGAGAGAGGTGCTAAGAAGACGGTAAGTGCTAACATTCAGTCTCTTTCAATGTTCCAAATAATCCAGAGCAATTTGATTTTAGGTGGTGCCACTGTTTCTCTTTAAAGATATGCTAACAATTAGCTTTGAGGTTTACATTTTATGGGAACAATCACATGAATATTCTTTGCAATCAAAGTCTTATAAACATTTGTTTTGGTACTTAACATTTTTTTTGACTAAATCTGTTTGTTTTAAAGGTTTGAAATTAAAAAGAAGCTGAAAGATGCAAAGAAAAAAGAGAAAGAGGAGAAGAAGAAGAAGCAGGAGGAAGAGCAAGAAAAGAGGAAACAATCTCAGGTTCAAGACACTCAGGTGGTGGGTCCAGCTTCACTAAAGATAATCACAAGAACCCTTTTAGATTGTTTTTTTTTTTTTTTTTATCCACTTTTTAGGGTGATTCTAAAATTAAATAGCATAGGTTTTGTAGTAAATGTTTTGCAACATAGTTCTGTATGGTTTTTTTTTTTCTTATTTGTGTTCAGGTGTCTATGTCACACAATAAGGAACGGCGATCCAAACGTGATGAAAAACTGGACAAAAAGTCCCAAGCCATGGAAGAACTAAAAGCTGAACGTGAAAAGAAAAAAAATAAAACAGGTCAGTTTGCTCTGAGCACACAGTGACCCTGGGATTTCTACTTTTTAGCTGTAAAAGCTGACTTTACTCCTCTCTGCAGCTGAACTGCTGGCTAAAAGAGAGCCCCTCAAAACAAGTGAAGTCTATTCAGATGATGAGGAAGAAGAAGAGGAAGATGACGATAAATCATCTGTTAAAAGCGACCGAAGCTCACGTTCATCGTCTTTTGACGACGATGAGTACGTTTTGGTTTTTTCCTTAAATCCCAAACTTTTTATGACTTCACACATTCACAATCTGTTTTCTTCTCCCAGAAAAGAGGAGACTCCTCCAAAATCACAGCCTGTTTCGCTCCCTGAAGAGCTCAACAGGGTCCGTCTTTCCAGACACAAACTGGAGCGCTGGTGCCACATGCCCTTCTTCGCCAAGACAGTGACAGGCTGCTTTGTCAGAATAGGGATTGGGAACAGCAGCAGTAAACCAGTTTATAGGGTTAGCTCCGTCACTTCATCTTCTACTGGATACCGATGTCCTGCTTTGTGTCCCTGCCAAGTCCACAAGTAAAGTTTTTATTTCTGTTCTGTTCCCTCTAAAGGTTGCTGAAATCGTGGATGTAGTAGAAACAGCAAAGGTTTATCAACTTGGATCAACGCGGACAAACAAGGGATTACAGTTAAGGTACGTTTCCATCGAATGCTAAAGATTATTCTCAGAAATGGATCACTTTTCTGAAAGTGGTTAAATGAACACTGGAATTTTGTCACGTCACAGCCACAAACCTCATTGGATGTTATCTTATAATCCTAAACCTGTGATTGCCTCACAGGTTTTGCCTGATTTTACGATAACATTTTGGATAAAAAAGCAGCATACAATGTTTTCAGGTTCACTATCATGGTGTAGATCTTCTTCAGTTTATTTTCATTAACAAGAACAGGATACGTATGTTTCACTCTTGCTTTATTTTGCCTAATTGAATAAACAGGGCCTCCAGAGTCTGTTTCCCAAACAAAAGCAAACAAAAATTATGTGCCTTATATTTCCTATTAAGTTTAAAAATCGTAAATCATATTTAAACCAATTTGAAATGTGGAATAAGGCCACACAAAACCATCTTAAAGGCTGCAAACGGCCACATTTGGGAAACTCCTGTGAAAACCAACATAAAGGAGTAGATTTTTTTCAAGTGGAAAGAAAGCTTTGTGGTTTTTAAAAGGATTTTACATGGAAAAGGCTATTTTATGTTTTAGGATTTACTGCCATCTAGGGGTCAAATTGGGTATTTAACAAAAAATCACTGTATCCTATTTGAGGTCAATGTGTTTCTCGTGGTCACCACAAAGACCACATGGGGTCCACTCAGAGTCTTGTGAGACTAGAACAACTTTCCAGTAAGTTTGAAATTTCATTTTATTCTGTGGCTCCTCTTTTTTAATCATTTATAGAGCATTACAAAAGGACAATGTCTAAAATAAAATTAGAAATGAAAAGAAACTAAAACTGTTATAATGTACGAAGTTTAGGTGAACGCTGACCCTTGCAGTTAATGGGTCAGTATTGGTAGCCCTTCCTATGGCTAAGTACCCTTGAAGTGACCCCTGTCCTACATGGCCTCTTCCTCGGACACGTATGACAGCAGTAGAAGTAACGCTGTTTTAAAAAGCCTTGTAACCACTATGTAACCACGTCATCCAATACTTGATAGTTTAAACTTGAGTGAGGAGGTCTGTAATTTCTTAAAGGAGAAGTTCGGTTTTTAACACTTTTAGCCCATTTTCTGTAGTGTCCAGGATAAAATCGAATGATCGACACCAAAATTTTGACAATTGGTCCTGTCTCTGCTTTTTGGCTCATTTAGAATCACCCCCTGGCTGCTTTAGAATGGCTTCCATAGAGCATGTCCGATAATGTCCTTAAAACAACCTTAAACGTTCTTTTTTTTAAATATGCTACTCACCGGGTCGTCAGCGCTGTTCAATGACGTTCCAAAAAAAGTTTCGTGAAGAAAAAACGTTCCTGTAGTGTTTTATTTAGCATTTTGTAAATCCCATTGAGTTCTGTTGGAATAGTCAATATTCCCCTGCCACCGGAAACAGAAATGGGGCCTGTTTACACAGTTGTAGTCTTTTCGCTTCACTCTGTGTACTCCGACGTCGAGGTGCTAACGTCTCTGTTAAACACTTTAAAAAACTCTGAAAATGGAATACGAAAGGTGGATTCTTGATTCTCGACGGGAATATTGACTATTCCAACAGAACTCAATGGGATTTACAAAATGCTAAATAAAACACTACAGGAACGTTTTTTCTTTACGAAACTTTTTTTGGAACGTCATTGAACAGCGCTGACGACCCGGTGAGTAGCATATTTAAAAAAAAGAACGTTTAAGGTTGTTTTAAGGACATTATCGGATATGCTCTATGGAAGCCATTCTAAAGCAGCCAGGGGGTGATTCTAAATGAGCCAAAAAGCAGAGACAGGAGCAATTGTCAAAATTTTGGTGTCGATCATTCGATTTCATCCTGGACACTACAGAAAATGGGCTAAAAGTGTTAAAAACCGAACTTCTCCTTTAAATATCGCAAACTGTTTTGCATTACTTGTATGATTTTGTATTTACTGTGATAAAAAACTGCTTTTAAAGCTACAAACCAATGTAGACCTACAGTTCTGTCCCACTGTTATGCTTTCTATGGTAACAAGCAACATTGTTTAATTAAACCGAATGTAAAGTGTTAGCTTTATGTTAGTTAAGGCAGTACAATTCACTTACTTGATAAGGAGAAACATGGAAACTTCAGCATCCCTTTTAAAATCTTTCTTCTTCATTAGCTCCCTCCACCTAGAGATGGCTTTCTCGTTGTCCTTGTTAAATGTCGCCGGTTTTTGTCTTTTCTCAATCACACTGAACTGCCAGAAAAGGGAAAAGGTTTGCTATTCTGTGCGTTAGTACTTTTCTATCCCTCACCTGTGTCCGTACTTCCAAAATGTTAGACTGTTATGGCGCTTGGCATACGTGTGCCCAGCTTTATGTATAAACTAATATTAAATTCTTCGCTTATAAAAAGAAATCTACTTATTAGTGGAGGTAATATTACACCAACAGCAACATATGTAAATGCCGTCATCGATGGCAGGCAGTTAAAACAGAAACACTTCCGCAGTAACCCTTTATCCCTCTGTTGTTTTGCTGCAAATATAACTAATAAAGTCTTGAGAGGCTCTGCACATCTAGAGACATGAGATGTTTTCAGTTCTGCTTTTAAAAGAGCTGAAGCTCAGTCGCTAAATTATCACAGTTTGAACCCATGTGGCTCTGGAAAGAAATTGGTAAATATTTGCAGCAATGTATGCGCTTTTGACAAGCAGAGCGTGTAAAAGGTTTTATTCTAAAAAAAATAAATAAATAAAAAGTAGGAGGAGCTTTACACAGTTAGAGGGAACCGCAAACCAAGCCTGTGAGCTGTTAGATCCACCCTGGAGGTTAGCAAAGGTTCGAGACTTCAGTGACTTTTAAAAAACACTATAAATGTGTCTTCTTGTGGCTTTCTTCCAATGTTTGATTCAAGTTTGGTCCATATAGGGCAGATTTTTGGAATCTCATAATTGAACTCTTGACCTGAGCTGTGGCTCTGTGCTGCTCCCTCAGAGCTACCGTGAGCCTCTTAACTGCAAAGTTAAGCTCAGCCTGCCTCCTGGACTCTTCTGTTCCAAGACAATTAATTGAACCACATTTACACATGATTTTATGTATCATGGACTTCTGGATCCATAAAAAAATAATTTAAAAACCATTTATCTTTCCTAATTGTGTTTTAATGTGTTTTATTTACATAAGCACTGCTGTCATGTATGTAAAAGAATAACAAAACCACAAAAATCAGAACAAAAACAGTGAAGTTTGTTTAAAAAAAAAAGGAAAAATGCTTATACAGGGCCTTGTTTTTAGAGCCCTTTGATAACATTTTCTTATTCCGTCCCTCTCTAAATAAAGGCTTTATTCTTGTGAATCTTCTCTAGGCATGGGGGTGACACACGAGTGTTCAGACTTGAGTTTGTATCAAATCAAGAGTTCACAGAAAATGAATTTATGAAATGGAAGGAGGCGGTAAGTTCATCTTTAGATTGAACAAGCTTAACAGGAATGCTGGACACGTAACGTTTAAACCCTCTGCTCTGATCGTTTGTTGATGCAGATGATTGTCGCTGGGATGCAGGTACCAACTCTGGATGAAATCACCAAGAAGGAACAGTCCATCAAAGAAGCGCTGAATTATAAGTTTAATGATAAGGACATTGAGGATGTGAGTCTCTTAATCAGTTCCAGTGGATTTCTGCCATCTTCTGCAGTAAACTGAATCCCCCCCACCACCACCACCACCCCCGTAACCTTTCTCCCAATCCCCCACAGATCGTTAAGGAGAAGGACAGATTCCGAAAAGCACCGCCTAATTATGCAATGAAGAAAACACAACTACTTAAAGACAAGGTAAAATAAACGCAGATGTTCGATTTTTGACATCAAATTCTAAAGACCATCTTCCTAAAAATCTTTTTTTATTTGTATTATTTATTAATAAAGGCTATGGCAGAAGAAAGTGGTGATGGAGAGAGAGTAAAAACTATCCAGGATCAGCTGAATGAGCTGGAGGAGAGGGCTGAGGCACTGGACAGACAGAGGACCAAGAATATTTCAGCCATCAGGTACAAAGATATTTAAACTGTATTGATCCAGCTTAAGTGCAGGGATTTACCTCATTAGTGGTGTTTTTTTTGTTTTGTTTTTTACTTACAGCAAATAAATCTAAACTATAATGTATTATTTGTGTCATCCAGCTACATTAATCAGAGGAACAGAAGCTGGAACATTGTTGAATCTGAGAAAGCACTTGTGGTAAGTTTCCAGTCTGTTGCATTTACCATCTTTTCATTCAGGGACGTCTTTTCATTTGAAATCAAGAAGAAAGTTTCCAGTACCTAATGAAGCATTCAAGGTTTGAAAGACAAAGCAAATTGTTAAAATTCAGATTAAGATTTTATGTATGTGTCTGTGTGTGTGTATATATACACACACACAGACACATACATACATACATGCACATACATTTATATCTATATATATTTGCATCACGTCAATATTGGTATTGACCAACCAAAGCTGCAATATCAGTATTGTATCAGTTATGGAAAAAGTTGCATCAGGACGCCTCCATTAGAGATTGGATGTTTTTGGAGCCAAACAACCGACCCAGCTGAAAATCGTCTGATTGCTCGCTGGATGATTCCTTGTTGCATCTTTGATGCAAAAGAAAGTAAAGTCTGTTAAAAAGAAAAAAGAAATGTGCTCTTCATTTTATTGTGAGTTTTTCTCATTTAATCAGAATGTGACATTTCACATAACTGCTCAGTGTTTACTTTATTGAGATTATATTTTCTATTCTAAGTTTTTCTATTTAATTTTAAAAAAAGATTGTTGTTTTTTCAAATATCTTTGTCCATTTGTGCCTGGTATGTTTTGCTTTTTTGTTAAATATTTAAAGATTTTCCTTTCCTTTAGATTTCATATCGTACTGAGAGGTTTAAAATTAATGTGACTCATCTAAGCAGTTTCTTCTTTGTATTATGAGTCTTTTCTGTCCCAGCTACCTGTCAGATTTTACAGGTAGAGTTCCTCTTTGCTAAAATTACCGAGAAAAAAATCTGAATCAGATCCTCCTGGACTGATCTGGACTTTGTGTGACCAGTCAGAGTTCTGTACCTGGGTTTGGAACTGGATGTCAAAAGCATTTGGTGTTTTAAAATATTCATAGCAGTTTGTCATGTTGATATTTTTTTTGTTATTATAATTTAAAAAGTTTTACCTTTTTTTTCTTTTCTTTCTAGGCTGAAGGCCAGAATTCCAAAAATCAACAAATGGACCCCTTCACACGAAGACAGTGCAAACCAACCATGGTGTCAAATGTATGTCTTTGATTTTTGACCTGGTAGTGCAATTTGATTTAAATAGTAGCAATTATAAGTGTAAGTTTGTAAAACGGGAAGAAAGAATTTAAGAAATTGATAACATGTGTTTTAAGGGGAAAATAACAAATATTACCTGGTTGATTTGTTGGGCTATCTGCTGGTAACAGTAATGAAGTTGGCTTTATGTATTTAATACAGTGATTAGCTTCTGCTTATTTTTTGGATCTTTGTTTTTCAGGCCAGAGATCCGTCGGTCCATGCAGCTATTCTCGCTCACCTGAACCAGAAGTATGGCTCAGGGTCAGGGGGTGCAGATCCTGCTAGTGCAGACAAGAACAAAGTGGTAAGCAGGAAATCTTAATACATGTGAAGTTATATATTAGTTGTTTTTTTTATTCGACACATTTAGAAATTATTAAATTTAATTATTAGATATTTTCCTGATAAAATCTAATAATATGTTAAACAAAAGATTGTTGATACCAGATCTTGGCTTAAAATATGTTTAAGCTGCAGGATTTAGTTTAATTAAAAATGAATTGAAGTGATAGACATTTATGTTTTCAAAAGAAAGCATTTGACTATTTTTGATAATTCTTTAGTTTCAATCATGCAGTATTATAAAGCATTACCATTAGTGGTAATCATCAGAACTTAGAAAGCTAAACCAAACAGCTTTAACCTAATATCTCACTTTAATTTGTTTGTTTTGTAACAGGGCCAAGTAAACCCTAAAGACAAAGATGTCCCCAAGCCAACCACTGACCTCTCAGAAGACCTGTTTAAAGTTCATGATTTTGATGTTAAGATTGACCTACAGGTTCCTAACGCAGGTGAGATGATTTGTTTTACTCATGTCTCGTGCTGAACTATGAGTGCCTTGCAAACACATTCAGAGCTCTTGACTAGGCCTGTTACAATAAATCAACTAATCCTCTGATAAAAATGAATCAGAGGATCCTTTTATACAAGCTCAATAATTTCCATCTGCAGGCTTGCTTTCCTTGTGTCTTCCTCTCTTTCTACTAAAGATGGCTAAGGATGACAAAATGTTTCACTTGGTTGCATTGCTCTCCACTCAGCCCTCTCCTATCATTTCCTTGCCAAAGTAGTTGTAGCATAAGAACCTAGTGATTGAAGAAAAGCAAGGCAGAGAAACGCTGGATGAGATTTGGAAAAACAGGGAAACCCTTTTAAAGCTGAACATGACAGCTGCAGTGTGGGAGCACTTGAATTTAAAACCACAGACAATACTGTTTCTCATGATGATTTCTGGGACAATGTATTGTCAAGCAATATGTGTTATCGTGACAGGGGTCTCTACCAGTTTTTCCTGTCTAGAGACTTAAAATTTCCAGACAGAATAAGAACATTTGCAAAAGACTTTTGCCACAGATCCCTCATTTTATTTCAGTTTAGACTTGGATTAAACTTTCTTTATACTTTATTGTGCTTTTTAATCTACACCGTTTCTTTGTAGTTCTGACTGTAGGCTTTGGCTGGTTGTTTATTTGCAGAATGTCCCTGAATCTCTACTCCATTTACCTCTCATCAAGTTGACTAAAGAAAATAATCCCGTCAGCTTAATCCAGCCACCATATTTCATTGTTATGATAATATTTTGCATCCTGGTTTTCTGGTATTAATTTTGGTTTCATCTGAATAGACCAAATTTTTCCACGTTAACTGTCTGCCTCCTTATGGTTTGTTGCAAACCCCAAGTGAAACATCTTTGGACTTCCTTTTGCATTTTTTTAACTGTTTTCTCTCTATTCAAATAATTCTATTTTTCAGATTTTAAACTTAACCTTGCTTTAAACCTGTCCACAGCTCCCTGCCTGACCCATCTGATCCATTCCGTAATCTCCATGTTTTGGCCTTCAACTCTATTTCTATTTTGATTTATTTTCCCTGTGGAATCTACTTCCTAAATGGCTAACTCATGAAACCAAATGGTTGTACTAAATTTTAATTAAAGGGTGTCAGAATACAGGGTTTTAAATGTACACCTATTTTGTACCATGTAAGTGTTTGCAATTATGCCCAGTTAGGCGTTTATAACTAAATGCATGTTGGAATGTTAAAATATGGAAAGTTCTTTTGCAAGGCAATGTGAGTATAAATGTCTTCCACACATTTTTCTACAGAAGCGAAATCTCTCTCAGTGAGCTCCAACGCCCTGCCCGTGAAGGACGGAGCTCCCCGTCGGTCACTTAACCTGGAAGACTACAAGAAGAGGAGGGGCCTGATCTGATTCAGGAAGCTCTTCACGCCGGAACCACACTTGCATGTGGATGTGGGTTTATGTTTTGTTTTTTGTTTTTGTTTTTTCTGAGAAAGAGTATGATTGTTTGGGTGAGTGAGAGAGTGCGAGCGCATGAGTGAGTCCAGAAAAACGTGTTTGGAAAGGAACAGACTCTTCATCCAAAACGAGGAATAAATTACTGATGTAATAAATGCAACAAAGATCACCTTTGGAAGAAAAATGTCCAAATATATGTTGTTCTTGCATTAGCCCCAATGAGCTGTTGTACCTTTTTTTTTTTGTGCTTTACTTTTTATTTAACCTCTGTTTTCCCACTTCCAACTCAAGTCTGATAAAGATGGCACATTTGGATTAATACATCAGATAAGGACACTATCTTAGAAGACTTTAGTTGATTTTAATTACTGAACATCTGATGGAGTGAGTCGCTTCCCCTCTCCATCACTCAGACAATGTTATATACCTTTTACCTGCCATAAATGTACAATCATCAGCCCTTAAAGTCCATCCTGAATTCGAACAGTTTTGTGGGTTTTTGCCGTGTAGATGATTGTAGTCTGATTCCAGCATAGCATGGCCATCCATGCTGAAAATGAAAAGTTCAGTATATGTGGGCTGGACACTTGGGACTTTTAAGGTCTCAGAAATAGATAAACAGAGGAACTATTTTCTTTAGCCTGGTTATAAAGGTGAAGCTTAATTTCTCTTATCTTGTTTGGTTGTTCATGGCATTAACTCCTCTGCTGTTGAACTCCCAGAGCAGATTCTCCATGTTATCGATTGTGTCAATAGTCGGTTCTTGTATTGATGTGGCATGCCCTGTAAATATGCATTTTCAAGTGAGTGCAGAAAAGAATAAAGAGGCACTGTTTCATATTTTATTGTTGTTGTTTTTTTTTTTTTTTTTTTTTTTTTGTTTTTTTTTTTTATACCTAAACTAAGTTTGTTGAAGGTAGTTGTGAAAAATTAAAATCCAAATGTTGCTTATCATCCAAAAGAAAAGTGCAATTTTTAGAGGGCAACAAGACCAAAGATAACTAAAAGCCATTTAGTATTTTTATTATTGTTCAGGACTTTTTGTAAATGGATGAAAGTTTCAAAATTGAACATTATTTTTAACATTTTTATATACAAATAATGATAAGTTAGAAGCTCAAAGGTTCTGCTAAGTTGGTTTAAAAGCTAAGATTTTATTTTTTAGGCGCATTATACACTGAGATAGATATGTCTTAATAAATATACCTGATTCACTTCCTCTGAAAATAGAAGTATCTATAAAAAAAAAAACATTTGATTTTGAACACAGAAATATCAGGCAAATTAAAATTATGTCCACATGTTGTATAACACACTGCAGGATAGGCTTGGGGCTCGTTTAACACTGATTTGTATCAATGCAATCTGCCATTAAGGCTATACTATTTACAAAAATGCAGCACAGATTAGCAGGGGAGTCCTTGCAAGAGTGGCTCTAAGACTAAAGAGATTCTTGCTAATATAGGTGGTGCAAAAATAAGAGAGGTGAAATGGTTAAAAACAAGAAGAAATTCAGAAGGTGTAATAGCTCATCAGTGTTAATCAAATGTGAAGAAGAGCAATTACCTAGTAAGGTTTCCATTGGTTATATTAAATACAATGTAAAAATATACAATCCTCCACCTCGAAGATGTTTCAAATGCCAAAAATTCTGACATGTAGAAGAAGCTGTATGGAAGGGAAAACAACAATGTGGAAAGTGTGCTGGAGAGAATAAATATTGAAAGTGTGTGGGGAAAAAAGTAAATATTTAATGCTGTAACTGTGGTGGAGAACAGACTGCTGCTTATGGCAGATGTGAAGTGAGCAAAAGATCTCAAGAGATCAGAAAAGTGAAATTAGATCTCGGAATAACTTATGCTGAAGCTGCAAAAAGAATCCCATCCATTTCAGAAAGACCCACATCAACAGTGACGCAAATGAAAAGTGCAAAACCTTTGGAGGAGTGTCATAAAATTGCAGAGGATTCATTGATTGCTAAAAAGAAGGATTTTGTATTTTTCATGGCAGAAGTTATAATTTGCAGTGCTCAGACAACAAAGGAAAATGAAAAAAAAAATAGAAATAATAGTGAAAGCTGCAGAAAAGTATCTTGAAGTGAAAGATTTAAAGTGGGAAACAGTTGAAAGTATGATGGAAAAACGAGTTGGACCATCAGCAACTGGCAGCAGGACAATAACTTAAAGATAAATTAGAAATGATGAGGACGAATTTTTAGTATTTGTTATTTATTATGTTGGGTTAAACAGTTTGGAAAGTTGTAATACATTTTTAATTAATTAATTCTTTTTTTGAGGGGGGCGGGCTCCTTGTTTAACTCCTCACCAGTTGGTGGCGGTAGTGTAGTGCACTTTAACTACCGGTAGTTTGCCAACCGCCGGGAAACCTTAAAGGAACAACAGAAAAAAACTTGCTTCAAATGATTTGCTCCCCTCCCAATATGGCGAACGAGTTGACGTTTGACTGCAACAATTCAGGCAGGTGGGTCACTTCCGGGAGCAGTTCCTGGTCCACGTATGGAAAAGCTCACAAATATCCTCTTTGACAGATAATGACATTTGACTGTGTTTATCCAAACGAACATCCCCCCTGATGTATAAACATTAAAAAAATCATCGATATCCAGGAGACTGGAGAGCTAGCAAGCAGCGACTTTTCACCAAACGGTACGTTTGAATATTAATTTTGCTAGCTGCTTAGCCTATTAGCTTTAGCTTGAAGTGTAACTCTCAAGTACAAGTTTAATAATTTGCTGCACAGCTACCTGCTATGCCGTTTATTATAATTATACATGTAATTTCTGTGTATTTATACCTTTTATTTATTCTTTAAAATATACCTTATGGAAACAAGTAAGGATTAAGGTTAGCATTATAGCTGTGAATAATTGGTGTATTACAAAGAGTTTGTTCTGTATGGCTGGTTTTACTGAATTTTAAAGACTTAACACATCTTTTAGCTAGGACACTGATGTGTTTTAAAGGTTGGTCATTTGTATATCTCTACTTAAACGTTTAGCACACAAATTTGCATCATATCTAACATTAAAGACTTTGATTCAAAGATTGTATTTTATTTGGATTTTTCAGTGATCCTTAACAATACAAAGTGGTTAAAAAATGAAATTAATGGGTTTAAACGATGTGCTTTGCTTATATCATATGCTCCATAATTAAATCTAGTTCAACCAGGGCTGCAAGTACTGATTATTTTGCACATCGATTAATCTGTTGATTTTTATTTTCAATTAATCGATTACGGTAATAATTGGATAGCAAAAGATTCTTTAAAGAGCACTTTTTGTGAAATGAAACCAGGTGCAACTGAAACTTTCCACTTGAGGAGTTCTGGATAAAGCATGTTGACATAAGAGGAAGATTTTGATCTTAAATGCAAAATTTTTACATTTTTTTTTACAACTTTGGTATAATTGCTGTTCAAGGAGGTTGCTATGTCAGCTAAAGGCATGTTTTAGAGTCTCTAAACTCCAGTTAACAATCTCAACATAACAGCTGTTAAGTGAGGGCCTCAGAGGCCACAATCTGAGAAATATTTGATTCATTAAAGTTATGGTATGATGGTCATCCTATCCAAGACATGACCATCCAACAAAACTGCCAGCGAGGCACTGAGTTTAATTATTAAAAAGCAGCTAGTGGAGCTATGGCAACTCTGGAGGAGCTGCATATGAAGACAGCTCAGGTGGGAAAGTCTGTTGGTACTATTGAATGGGAACAGGGAATTCAAATAAATTCAGTAATAATTTATCAATCCCAAAGGGAAATTCAGTTTTGGTGCAGCCTGTCCAAAGCCGAGGCTTTGTTGCCATAAAAGGCGCTGCCCTTCTGGGAGCTTGTCAAAAATCATGGAAGAAAAGCTGTTGAGGGCTGCAAAAAAATTGGGGAATAGTTTCAAAATCAAGAAGGATAATATCCTCAGACATATACAGTTGTGATTGAAAGTTTACAGTAAAATAAATATAAAATTACTAAAGCAATAATATATAAAATAAAATTCAAAATGGAAATTATGACATTGATTTTGAATATATAATTATGTATATAGGTATACATATAAATCAATGTCAGCCCACTGCTCCCCAAGGGGATGGGTTAAATGCAGAGAGTGAATTGCGTTTCTTTTTACATGTGACAGTGTAATGACAATAAGGTTGAATTATTTTCTTAAAGCATTTTCTTATGTCTGAATGAGAATTTTTCAGAATTAACAGCAAGACTTGAGGATTCTCTTTAGCTGTCTGTTAAATCTGATAGAACTTCAGTTTTTTTTTGCAAAAAACAGTTTGTGAAACATTTTGCACTTAGACTACCGGTAAATGACCTGCACCTCTAACTGCAGGGAGAGATGACTGTATAAAATAGAGAGTTTTCCAATTTTGTAATGAGGAAGTAAAAACTTTGTCTGTTTGTTCTTTCAGGGTGCAACATGTCTTGGTTTACTGATTTGGCTGGAAAAGCCGAGGACTTCCTAAATAAAGTGGACCAAGGAGCTGCTACCGCCCTCAGCAAAAGCGAGGCAAGGACATCCTCCTTTTCCTCTTTGCATGGAGAGGAACTGGCTGTAAAAAATGAATACAATTCCCCAGCATACAAGACTGAGCCATCTGACACGCATCATGCCTACCCATCCTCCCATGAAGCGCCAAATTACATTTCTGCTGTAGCCGGCAACATTAAGAAATCCAGCGCTACTCTCCTGGCTGGGACGGCCAATGTGCTCAACACCCCCTCCGGGTCAAACCCCGCCAAAACGTCGGCAGGCTTTGTGAGGCCCAAAAAGAGTGAGCAGGACGTGGATGATGACATGCTCTTTAACTTCCTGAACAGTTCGGACCCTCCGGAAAGCACCAGGAGGGATTCCAGGAGAGAGTTTGTGAAAGCCGTGGCTCCGGTGATGGAGGTGCAAAGCCCAACGCCGCCTCCTTCGGTTACTCCTCACAGCAACCTCTCAGCTCCTTCCACGCCTCCTTCTACACGCGGGGTGTCAAGGGCCTCAAGCATGAGCTCTCTTTCTGCCCACAGCATAAAAACCTCAGAGGAGAATTCGTCTAAGGAGCAAGGTCAAGGTTGGTGCTTGAAAACTTCAAATAAAAAGCTGCATTATCTCTTTTTTTGCATTTTTTTTTTCATGTTTCCAATATTAATACCTTTTATTTTTTCCTCTTTCCTCCCTATAACAGACACACCTGAGAGTTCTGACTCTAGCTTAGCTCCCCCGCAGGAGCCCACTAGGATGGAGCCCATGGTACCCACAGAGGAGCCGCAGAGCCAGATCCTGTCCAGCCTTCGCCTTGAGAACCAGCTGCTCCGCAGCGAGGTGGCCTCCCTCAACCAAGAGATGGCCTCAGTTATCCAGAGAGCCAAAGACTTACAAGATGGTGAGTGATACAGAGCACATAGAAAGGCCTTAGCATTCCACTTCTCTCCATTTTTGTTTTTACACTGCTGCTCTATCGCATCCCTCTAGAATTGAACCAGGCCCGCCTGCGAGCAGATCGGTGGAACTCAGAGCAGTCACAAACTGACCGAACACTGAGAGAACTTCGATCACAGGTTGACGACCTCACAGAAGCACTTTCGGCCAAAGACGGCCAACTGGCGGTCTTAAAAGTCCGACTCGATGAAGCCGATCAGCTACTGAAATCTCGCAGCTTTGCACTGGAGGAAGCACAGAAAGAAAAGTCGAGGTACCATTTTGGTCATTGCTGTTTGAAATTAAAATCCTGTTAGATAGGGATTTTTTCCCGTATTTAATTTTACTTTTTCTGTGTGTGTGGGTAGAATCATGCAAGACCACACAGAAGGGAGCAGCATGCACTCCCAAGCTCTGGAAAAGATACAGGAGAGGCTGCGGGAAGCAGAGCTTTCTGTCAGGAGGGAACAGGACAGCTATCGGCAGATGCAGGTAAACACTGTCGACAATTTTGGATGGAATTAATGAACACATAAAAAAAATCAACACTCATGAGTTTCCTGCTCTCAAAGAGTGAGTACGCTGACCGGCTGGGCAGGTTAGAAGCTGAGAGGCAAACCCTTGCCGAGACGGTGATGGCGGCAGAGAGACGAGCCACAGACGAGAAGCTCAGGGTCGACGACCTCCAGCAGCAACTGAAAAGCGCCAAAGCTTTAGCTGAGTCTGCCAAGCAGGAGCTACAAGATTACAAGCACAAAGCTTCACGCATCCTACAAGTAAAGCTGAGTTTTGGCCTTAAAGGAATAAAATACACACAGTTCCATGCTCAGGATTCACAGCCTTTGACATTTTTTCGTTTTTATCTCATTAGAAACACACATTTAAAGTTATACCCATTTCTGTTTAAGTATGTTTGTAGAATGACTGCAGTGGCCCTTTTCTCTGCTCCCATAAATGAAATATAGCAACTCTAGAGCAGCTGCTGAGATCCACTGCTCAGGTGGAAAAATGTAGCATCAAGGTGGCTGTTATTTGTGCACATCACAGTCAAAGTCGGTGTATAAATATAATGGAGAACCTCTGCAAAGACTGGAAAACAAAGAATCAAAGAAACAAATTTTAAAACCAACCATCATTTTGTTTTCCCTCTAAAGCGTTTTATTGGTCGGTTACATAAGATGATATGAAAAGATTCCAAGGGTGTGGATCCTTCTGCAAATATTCATATGCAACGTAGCATTTTTATATCTCCACATAAAGTTTGTTTAAAATGCTTTTATCTGTTTATCTGCTTCTTTTCTTAAGTCCAAAGAAAAGTTAATAAGCAGTTTGAAGGAGGGGTCGGGTCTCGAGATTGGAGATGGTAGTGGGACCATGGCTCTGGAGCTGGAGGAACTTCGTCATGAGAAAGACCTGCAGAGGGAAGAGATCCAAAAGCTGCAGGGGCAAGTGGGCGCTCTACGGGCAGAAATTCAGGTGAGCTTGTTATATGGTTGTATGTTTTTGGACTTGGGAAAACTCTCTGATTGTTGCTGCTTTTGCAGAATGTTTTCAGATCCTTATGGAGAGAAATTAGTTTCAGTATTACTGAAAGTAAATAACATTGTTTAAAAAGGAAGCTTGAAGAAAACGCATTTAAAAAAAAATGAAACTTTGCTTATTAAAAAAAAAAGAAAAGGTTTTGAGAGTCAAGGTTCAGCTTGTATTTTACAAATGGCATTTTTTCTCAGAATTTGCCTTATTCTCAAATCCTGCTACCTGTCTGCACTTCTAAGTGGTCTGTTCATGCCCCAATAAAAAAAGGCTGTTGCTAAAGCAGAGCAGACTTTCTATTGGTTCTGTGCCCAATAGAACTGCTGTTCCATCCTCAAGAGTAGAGCATTAAATCTATAGATCTGAATTTGTAGGTGATGCAATATGAAAATTACTTGAAAAGATAAAATCTGAAATATGCTGTGTAAATTTTGATTCAAATTTTGCATACACATTTTAATTTACTCTCAAAACCATTTTCTTTTGAAAGCTAAGTTTTCCACAGTTCAGTTTTTGAAATGCATTTTCTTTTAATGTTCTTTTCAATAATATTACAACAAATTTCTCTGCATATTTACCCACTTGTAACTTCTGCCTAATATGCAATTTTTTTTATTCTGTGAGAACAAATGTTTTAGTTATGAAACACAAATGTTTTTTTTCTATATAGGATCTTGAGACACAAGCCCTGTCAGAGGCAGAAGCTTGGAGGGAGCAGCAGGTCCATCTACAGGAGCAACAGGCTATGCAGAATCGAGCCAAGCAGGAGTTAGAAGCTGAGGTGGAGCGCTACAAGCAGGTAGGTACAACCATGTTTGATGATCACATGAAATACAACATTGATTGGGTGGTAATGTTTGAAATATATGTTTTTCTGGCATGCAGGAGCTGCAGTACCTTGAGGATGAGAACCATCGGGCCAAACTGAACCTGCAGAGCCGAATCAAAGACAGAGAAGATGAGATCCAAAAACTCAGGAATCAGGTCTGCTACTTTTCCTTCACAGAAAGAAAACAATGAGATTTTAGTGGCATCACTAAAATAAAGCAGGGTTCTTTCGATTTACCTGTAACTCTTTCAGTTGACCAATAAGACTCTGAGCAGCAGTAGCCAGATGGAGCTGGAGAATCGACTCCACCAGCTGACAGAAACACTGATCCAGAAGCAAACCATGCTGGAGGCTTTGGGCACTGAGAAAAGCTCCCTGGTCTTCCAGCTGGAGCGTTTGGAGCAGCAGCTGAAGAACGCTCAGGGAGGGCAAACTGGAGGCCCAGCCATCAATATGAGCGCTATGGAGGGCCCAGGTTGGCTTTCTTTGCTTTTGTTACATTACAATTTTACAGATAATAATAAACAGCTTTTAACATTTTATTGCTTTCTATGTTTAACCATAATATATTAGAAAATAACAATTTTTTTGCTAATTTATAACAACTATTAGGGACCCGTCAAAGAAACACACCGGTTCTGTTCAGTGAACAGGAAAGCCCAGGCGTTTATGGAAAAGTGCGGAAGGCAGCCAGCACTATTGATCGCTTCAGGTAAGCCTGAATTTGACTCTTTCCTCAGCTGTGATTAAAATATTTTCTCCTTAATTAAAATATTTGTGCGACCGACAGCATAAGACTGGGAATCTTTCTGAGGCGCTACCCCATGGCTAGGCTTTTTGTCATCCTTTACATGGTGAGTGCTCATTGAAAACATTGTTTGCAGATTGGTCAAAGATATTGGAGTTTAATCCAATCTTCTTTCTTCAGGCGGTGCTGCACCTGTGGGTCATGATTGTTCTTCTAACTTACACACCAGAAATGCATGGTCGCCCCGATGGAAGATAGAGGAAGACTTAACATTTCAAGTTTGAGATGTTTTTCTAAGGCCTTCGATGAAAGGAAGCTGCTGGATAATGGGCTCTGGGAGCTGACTGTCCCCGTTTTGCACAGATATGCTATGAATTGATGATATTCAGATTCATTGTTGGTTTCTTGGAGTAACAGCTGAATTTTGAAGTTAATACGTGATAATAAGTCATATGCTTTGTTGGTTTCCTGGAAATGACCTGACATTGTTACTCTTCTCAAAATACTTTCCTCCTTTTCCCTTGAGAGATTGTATGTAACACTATGTATAAAAAAAAATGCTTTTAATAAACATGTAAGATTAAAAACCATTCAAATGTCTCCTAGTTTTGCCTCAAATTACTAAACCTTCTTTATATGTCCAGTGCTTTGCAAAAGCATTCATTCATTTTCCTATTTGTTTTGATACAATCACTATTGTTTGGTTGTTTTTATATTAGTACAGTAATGTAACAGGGAAGTGAAATGATTCTCAACATTTTCCCAAAGAACTGGAAAGTGTGGGATGCATCTTCATTCACT